TTTTTCCCAAAATGCTGCTCTCGTTGAGGCGCCGGCCTCATTTCTGCTCCCGAATCGTTCCGAATCGTGCTCCCGCTGCAGCGTGGGCCTCATTTTCGGATCGGTGTTTGGCCTCCGTCGTTCAGGATGGCGTTCTCGCCCCAGCGCGGGCCTTTTTCTCGCGCGCCCATCCGCCCCACAACCGGCCGCACCGCCACCACCACCACCACCACACCACCACCACCACCACCACCACCACCACCACCACCCCAACCCCACCACCACCAGCACCCCACCACCACACCCACACACCACCACCACCACCACCACCACCACCACCACCACCACACCACACCACCACCACTACCACCACCACCACCACCACCACCACCACGACAACCACGCACACACGCACGCACGCACGCACGTGCACCACCACCCACTACGCACGCGCGCGCGGAGCCACAGGTCCGCTACGACACGCGTCCGCGGATAGAGAAAATCAGCGCCATGGTAAGGGATGGGAGGGAGGGGTAGGACGTCAGATATGACGCGAGCGCACCTAGCTTGCCTCCTTCCCCTCCCCCTCCACTCCCTCCCCTCTCCCCCTCTCCAGAATTACTCAATATGAATACTACTCTCCCTCTTCCCCTGATGACTCCCTCCCCCCCCCCTCCCCCTCCCTCCCCCTCCCTCCCCCTCCCTCCCAGTGTTCGCATGTGGTCCCGCACCCATCACGGCACCTCCTTTACACGCGTCGTGGCCCCATAAGGGGGGGGGGGGGCCCAGCGCGGCTCCAAGAAGTCCGCGCGGAGCGCCAAAACTTCATGCTTGTGCCGTGCGGTTCCTTCTTCGCAGGCCAGCGGTCTGCAGAGGCGCCGCAGCGCAGCCCGGGCCGGCAGTGGGCGCGCGGCGGGGCAGGCACGCGGGCAGTGCCCGGGCCGGAGCGGCTGTCGTCTCGGCGGCGCGGGGGGGGGGGGGGGCCAGGGCGGGCCCAGGCCTGCTCGCGCGCCGCGGAGGGCAAGGCCTCGGCGCCTGCCTGCTCTCGCCGCTGTCAGGGGGGGGCGGGAGACACGGCTCGGGACGCAGCAGCGGCCCCGCGGGGAGAGGGCCATGGCACCGGCAGAGGGGAGATGCCGGGTGTCTTGGGCGGGAGGGGACGGGAGCCTCGTCTGCGAAGACTGGGGGCCGAGACGAATGCCCCCGGTCTAGGCAACCACATGTGAACCGTGATACCCCCTCAGGTCGGCTTTCTGACAAACCGGCCGTGGTTCAGACTTTGCTGCATGCATGCAGGCCAAGTGAACCGCAGCGGGGATGCCCGATACCCCGCCGCCGATGGAACCCACCAGGGAAAGGTTCGAAACTGGTCGCAGAGAGGTACGAGGACGACGGAGACATTCACGGCGACGACGGGAGGGAAGCCAACGTCACTGGTTCTCATGGCGCTGGCCCCATCCCCGGTCCCGGATCGTTGACACCATGCCCCAGACAGTGCTTGCACTGAAATCCTACCCGCTTTTCCGAATCTTTGGGCACATTCTCCAGGTTCTTCTGGCCGGGTCCCCGCCCGTGGCCGCCCAGAAAGTTCCACACATGATACAGGCCTCGGAAGAAATTAGCGAACACATGCCACATTTACCCGTCCACGCCTCCCCCTCCCCCCAAGGTTCAAAAGTGGCGGTGGGTCTGACGAGATGCACTTCGACCGCAGTCTCCCCCGCGCGTGCCAACATTGAGTCTGGGGGGGAGGGGGAGTGTTCCGTAATTGCTTCCCTCCACCGTGAGGCGCCGAGATCTGCACAGCTCCACTGGCCAGGGCCAGGGCCATCACTGGACCCAGGAGCGGTGCAGATGCCTCTCCTGGCCATCGCTCGGACGTCCTTTCCCTGTGTTTTTTTCGGTTTCGTGCATGTTTTTTTCGCCAAATGATCAAGGATGCTCCTCGATGGTCCTCGCCGACGGAAAAATACACACGTCCGAGCGATGCCAGGTCTCTGGTCAAGCCGGGAGGGTGCACGCACCGCTCCTCCAGGAGGACGGACCTGGCCTCGGGTGGTGGATCCGCACCGCTCCCCTCGCCCTACATTGACTACAGTCATCGGCCTGACCTAAGGAACGATAAATAAGGAACGAAGCCCCTTTTTTATCCCAAGGAATAACGCATAGAGGAACGATAAATAACAAATAACGCATAAGGAACTGTGAATAACACATGCAAACCCAAGGAACGACCGAGCCCCTTTTGAAAAGTAAGCGTTCCTTATTCAAGCCGCCCACTGTACCTACCAGACCACCCCAACACAACCCGAAGACCCGAATTTCGGGTTGGGCGGGGTACGGGCCTTATATGTGTTTTTCAATGTTCCCCGAACCCCCCCCCACCACCACCAGAAATGGAGGGCAGATCGGGGCCTTCGGGTTGGGTTGGGGTGGCTTTGTGGTGGGCGGCGATCTATTGCCCCGAGTGTGGCTGCACGGGCTCTTCTGGGCTTTTGCTGAGCAGTCGGCTCGGGCCCTGCGAGTGTTCAGGCCCGCGGCCGCCCGTGGCCGCACCCTGCGTCGCCCAAGACCTTCGGGGTGTGCGGCAATAGTGGCTGCCCGTGGCCGCCTCGCGGCCGCCTACCGAGCTGGGTCTTCTGGCGCCGCGGCTGCCTTTGCCAGCGCCCCCTACGCAGGAAAGCGCGTGCAACCTGCGGACGGACGCTCGCAGATTGCACTCCATGGCTTGCACTACCCCGTTTGCATAACTTCGATCGTAGCCCCGAAGTGCACCACATAGACTGCACGATACACAACATAAATAGACCTGCATACATACATACATACATACATACATACATACATACATACATACATACATACATACATACATACCTACCTACCTACATACATACATACATACATACCTACCTACATACATACATACATACATGCATGCATGCATGCATGCATGCATGCATGTATACACACATACATACATACATACATACATACATGCATACATACATGCATACATATATACATACATATATACATGCATACATACATACATGCATACATACATGCATACGTACATACATACATACATACATGCATGCATGCATGCATACATACATACATACATACATACATGCATGCATACATACATACATACATACATACATACATGCATACATACATACATAAACGCATACAACCGTACATGCACACATACATACGTATACGTGTATATACATACACAAACACATACACGCACATACGCATGCACACATACATACACATACACATACATGTGCATGTGCATAAGCACCGAGACAGACACTGGCACAGCCACATACACATACACATACATACACACATGCACATACACATACATACATACATAAATATATATGTATACATACACGTGCATATACATACCTCCCTCGCTTCCCCCATCCCGCCTCCCTCCCTTCTCCACCCCCCCTTCCGCCTCCCTCTCGTCCTGCATCCCGGGGCAAGGGAAGGAAAAGGAGATGGAGCAGCAGGAGAAACGGAGCCAGCTCGGTATCGCGCAAGAGCTCCTATCGAGACGATCGTGCCACCCTGGTCGGATGCCGCGCTCAAACTAAAAATTGGCTGCAGCACAATCAGCTGCGGCTACATACTAAAGATCTAGGAGAAGCTGATTGGAAGAACGTACGGGATCGAGTAAATAAGTGCCTTCTGGGGACAGCTTGAGACTTGTGGCGGCCGTAGGCACAAGAAAAGAGGAAGGACCAGAACGCAATAAAAGTTTCTCTGGGTCGTGCTGCACACTTCCCCTGTCGCGCCCCTTCTGGCTCCCTTCACCATCTGCTCTCCATGCGGGTGATCCCTTTTCGACACTCCCATGTCGTCACTCTCCAAATTCAGATATTACTGTCAACTCGCATACCCCCGCAACACCACCAAGCTGCCCCACTTCTCCTGCTCGCCCACATAATACACATCCGCGTGCCCAACATCGTCACAGGTCCTTCTCCTGCCGTCGCTTTGCCTCATCGCCTTCATTATCAGCGTCCGCCTTCTCCCCCCTTCTCCGCATCGTGCCAACGTCCTTTTCTGGATGCTTCCTCGTAGTCCTTGCAAGCCGCGTCAAGCGGAACCGTCGCATTCGGCACTGTGCATCGTACGTACATGTCATGGCTCGTCCCGATGCGCCCGTTACAACCACCTCGTCCAAGTCCCCGTGTCGGTCGTTGTCCTCGTCCCCGGAGTCAACTCAACTCAGACGCTCGCGATCTCTCAACGACCCCCTGTCGGGCACTCCATTAACGGATAACTTGGTCAGCGACCCCGCGAACACAACACTGCCCAAAAGAGGCCGCGAAAAGACCACGTTCGGCGGGTCCCCACGTTACCTGTTAGCGAGCACTCATTGAGGTGGCGCTGTCTCTCTTTCACCTACCACTTGCTGAACACGTGAAGCGTGTATTGGCCAACCCGTGCCCGTTGACCCTTGTCGGCTCCCGCGGCTCGGCCTGTGGCCACACCCGAGGGCGTGCTCGTGCCTGCATACGGATGCTTACAGGCCTTCTCCGGGAAGTATGAAGAGCGCGCCTACAGCGTAGACCAGGGTAGCCCAGCCTTGCTTAGCTCGGATCACCTTGGTCTTGACGCCGCTTGCGATTATACCGCATAAGGGTTCGCCTGGCGGCTGACGCTTTGCATATACTCGACGTAAGGACCATGCATCACGCACACATCGCCTTAGCTGCTGTGTTAGATGTTTGCGTCATGTCATTGGCGTGAGTGACGTATGATGCCAGACGATGCTGCTTCTGGCTCAGAGGTGACTGGCCCTGCCTTTGGTGTTCAATCCCTCCTGTTGCAGATCGTCCATGATCGTGAGTCCCCCAAAAAACCATCCTCCTTCCCATTCCCCGCTCTCCGCCTTCGCCCTCGCCTGCCCCAACTTCTCTTTCAAGTGTGAACGCAGGTGCGGAAGAAGGGAAGGATAAACGTGAGTGCGAGCAACAGGTGCAAATGCCAGGGCATCACTTCCTCACTGCCGCCCTTCGGACAGCTTCCATCGGAGCTGTGAGGACGTCCAACATCTTGTACACCTCCGCACGTTGACAGGGGGGCGAGTGGAAAGGGGCAAAGGGGATCAGGGAGGAGGGACGAGATGGGGGAGGGAAGAAGGGAGGTGGGGAAGGGAGGGTGAGAGGGAGGGAGAGAAGAGCAAGCGATGAAGGAGGGATGAGGCGAGAGCAATGATGAAAGGAGGCAGGATGGAGAATGTGGGGAGACTCTCCTCCTCCTCATCCTCCGCCTCCTCCCCCTCCTCCTCCTGCTCCTCCCTGTCCTCCTCCTCCTCCTCCTCCTCCCCCTCCTCTTCCTCGTGCTCCTCTTCCTCCTCCTCCTCCTCCTCCGCCTCCTCCTCCTCCTCCTCCTTGTCCCGCCTCTGTTTCTGAGCCCTCTTCCTCCGCCCCCATCACGATCCACACGAGAGCGCCCTCTGGCACGCATGGACACGGCGGCGGCAAGTGCAACCGCGGGGCGAAGAGCCGAGGGGGAACGATAGGGGGAACTCGCTTTCGCCTGCTGAGGAGGGGTCAGACTAAGCGAAGGGCAAGCCGAGGAAACTGATCTTCTGAAAAGAGCTGGCCTAGGCGCAGAATGTCCGAAGGCATTACTAAAAAGGAAAGCCGAGGAAGGAACAGTGATCGCTTGAGAAGAACACGGCGCCAATCAAGGAACATGCAAAACACTGAGATTGCCTGGTCCTGACCCCCCAGAGGCAGACCCACATTAGCAGGCGAAGGAGACAGATCGGGGGGGGGGAAGGGGGGAAACATCGACCTGGAATCGGGGATACACCGCCGACGGATCGGCGACAAGCGCACGGCAACACATCCGCACGCTCCTAGGCGGGGTGGGCTATCGGGCCCGAAATGTTGGGTCGATGCACCTCCCCCCCTTTGGAGGCCTGGAAGTGGGCACCAACACCAGCACAGGGGGTTGTCTCCACAGGGGGAAGATGATCCTAGACTTCGGTGTTGGCGGTAATGGTTCGGCCACCCTGGAAGCCAGAACATCACCACCATCACCGGGGTCGAGATCTTCTCCCCTCGGTGGAGGCACACCGCCGACACTGGTGCTGGTGTCAGCCTCTACAGGCCAGTTCCACATTGACACGGCGGTGACCTCTACCGATCTCCCCCTCATCGGGGATGGACAAAAAACCCTTTAGCAAAACGTGGCTTAGGGTGAAAACGACCTCGGGCCCCAGCCTGGCGGGCGCAGGCCTGGAGAATGACGGCCGCGGCGCCCTCTCGGGAACCGAAAACGGACAATGCACTAATCCACGTGTCAGGGTGGGGGTGCTGTCCACCCCCGCCCGACCTTTGAGCAGGGACCGACCGTCCCGGCATTCCTGTAGCCCTACCGCGACATGCTCGTAGAACCCAAACATGTTCCAAGAACAAGCACAATATTCTTAGAACATGAACCCGACGTGTTCAAACAAGACAGGCTCCGCCAGACACGTTCTAAGAACATTTCGTGGCAACCACAAAAGGTTCTCATAACAGTGTTAAGTACAGCCGGGGCGTTGACCTAAGGAACCCTAAATAAGGAACGAGGCCCCTTTCATCCACAAGTTGAACTTCGATTTCCCATCGAAAACCAAGGGAAAACCCAAGGCAAACTGTGAAGCAATCAAGGAACACGAAGCCCCTCCCCAACGAAAAGGGTTCCTTCTTCAGGGCCCCGACTGTAGGGCGATAGGCGAACCAAGACGCTTCGCCACTGCTCGACTGACGACCTCACCCAGCAAGCTCGCGCGAGACCGCGCCGGCCGCCCGCCGCTCCAGCGCGCCGCCGGCGGAGGCGGCTGCCACGGGGCGGCGGGCCGCGGCGGATGCGGCGCCCTGGCCTGCCAGCTCGGCGGATACGCGGCTGCGCGCCACGGGGGGGGATCGATAGGGGGCCACATGCGAACCCTACCCCTACCCCCCACGATTTTTGAGGGGGGGGGTCACTTCGCTCGGGAGCTCTCGAACAAAGTGAACCCCACCCTCCCCCTCAAAAATCGTGGGCCGGCGGCGGCGCTCTACTTACCCCGCAGGACCGCGCTGGCGTCGCGGCCGCGCCAGCGCAGCACGAGCCCACCGCACGGGCCAGGGCGGGGGCGCCACCGCCACTCGAGGGGGAGCTCGCCTCGAGAGCCCACGCCGCCCTGGCCCCCGGCGAGCGAGGGAACGGCCCCGCCGACGGCACCTGCTGCGTGGCCGGGAGACCCGGGGAGCCCGGGAAAGCCACCGACCAGCCACAAGTGGGGGAGCTGTGGTCCTTACCCCCCCTGGCGGAACCCATCGCATCGACGATCCCTCGAGAGGAGTGTCGAAATCGATGGGTCCCCCAGGGGGGTAAGGACCACAGCTCCCCCAGTTGTGGCTGGCCTGAGCCAGCGACGAAACCAAACCAGCGCCCTCGCGCGTCGGCCCTCGAGTTCGGCACGCCCGACATCGGGAGGGACCAGCACCGGCACGCCGCCCAGCAGCGAGCGTTGCCCAGAACGCGGGTGGACGCTGCAGGGCCAGCGACGGCCGCCCCAAGTGGACCGCGCCCGCGGCGACGCCACCAGCGGGTCCTGCTCAACGGGGGCATGAACTGATGACGAACTCTGCGGGCCCGCCCTCGCCGTCCCCGAAGTGGGCCGGCCTTTTTTGTCCGTCGGAGCCTCGCGGATGGAGCCCCGAGACGCGGGGCAAAGGAGGGAGAAAGGCCCCGAGCAGCGACCTCCTCTTCGTCCTCGTCCCCCTTCGTCCTCCTCGTCCTCCTCCCTCGTCCTCCTCCTCCTCCTCCTCCTCCTCCTCCTCCTCCTCCTCCTCCTCCTGCTCCTCCGCATCCTTCTCCTCCTTCTCCTCCTCTTCCTCCGCCTCCTCCTCCTCCTCCATTTCTTCTCCTTATAAATAACTTCCCCCTGTCGCACCCCGAGGACGGGCTCGCAGCTTGCAGCTTGAGGGAATCCCACCAGCCCTCTGGGCGTCGGTGGTTTAGAGCGTTTCCTCTTCCACCCCTCCTTCTTCCCCTTCGGGGAGGGGTTTACCCCTCCCCCTACCCCCTCCCCACTGACCTGGACAGGGGGTTCCGCGGCGCGTTGGAGCGCCCAAGATCGACCCCTGGGAGGGCTAAAATTCGACACCCCTCACGAGGATCGTGGCTCCTGAGGGGGGGACTGTAATTAGGGAACCCCCCTTCGTTGATCGATCTCCTCCAAGATGGCTCCGAGGCCCCCCAAGAGGCCCCCAGGAGGCCCCCAAGAGACCCCCAAGAGGCCCCAAGAGACCCCCCAGAGGCACCCAAGAAGCGCCCAGGAGGCCCCAAGAAGCGCCCAACAGGCCCCCAAAGGCCCCAAGATGGCCCCAAGAGGCCCCAAGAGGCCCCCAGGAGGCCCCAAAGAGGATCCCGAACGGCCCACAGAGGCCCCCCCGAGGCACCCAAGACGCCGAAAAGCCCCTCAGGACGACCCTCTACTCGCCTGGGCGTCGTTTCTGGACGGGCTGGTGGGGATACGCGAAGCGTCTAGAATTCCATCCACGTCCTCATTGCGTCAAAGGGAAGCCCCTTCCCTTTGTCCCTTCACCGGCAGGAGGGGGGGGCCCGGGCGGGGGTGGGTCAGATTCGCATCGCCTCAGGGGGTCCTCCTCTCCCACGCCGGTTCTTCTCTGGCGCGCCGGTCCTCCTCGGGTCCCCAGGTGGGGAGGAGTCCCACAGGGGGGGGAGGGGAGTCAGATACGCATCCGTCCCTGGGGGTCCTCCTCCCCCTCCCCTCCCCTCTCCCACGCCGGTCCTCCTCTGGTCCTCCTCCCCAGGGGGGGGGTCCCAGGGGGGAGTCCTTTTCCTCCTCCTTTTCCTCCTCGTCCTCCTCCTCGTCCTCCTCCTCCTCCTCCTCCTCCTCCTCCTCCTCCTCCTCCTCCTCCTCCTTAGTTCCGCCTCCTCCTTAGTTCCGCCTCCTCCTCCTCCTCCTCCTCCTCCTCCTCCTCCTCCTCCTCCTCCTCCTTTTCATCCTCATCCTCATCCTCAGCCTTCTCCTCCTTCTCCTCCTTCTCCTCCTTCTCCTCCTTCTCCTCCTCATCCCCCTATTGGTCGGCGTCGATGTCTTTCAAGGTCGGCGGCAACGGCCGTCAGGCCTTCACAATAACTTCTCCCTGTCGCACCCCGAGGCCAGTTTTTAGGGCGGGCCGGGCGCTCCGCCTGAGAATTCCTCATCATTCAAGACTCTGAAGCTTAAAAAAGACTACAGATTCACAAATGAAGGCGGGTCGTCTTCAAAATGTGGCTCCCGCCTTAGCGCCGCGCTTGTTCTTTAAAAATTGCAAGAGCTTCACGGCTTGAGGGCGGGTCGTTTTCAATACGTGGCTCTCGCCTTAGCGCCGCGCATTTTCTTTTTCAGAATTTGCAAGAATTGCACGGATTGAGGGCGGCTCCTTTTCAAAATGTGGCTCTCGCCGTAGCGACGCGCACATTCGTTTTGAAAAATTGTATGAGCTTCACGGATTGAGAGCAGGTGGCTTTCAAAATGTGGCTCTCGCCTTAGCGTCGCGCACAGTCGTTTTAAACGTTGCAAGGGCTTCACGGATTCCCATGATCAATGTACCAGAAATGGGGCTTTGGAAGGATTCAGGGTTGTGCGTTGTGCAGGTGCAACTGTTATGTTGATTCGCGGTGCTGACGCCCCAGAAATGGCGTTCTGACACGATTCCGGATCGTCAAGACACAGCAATCAGGTTGATCCGTGGCGTTGACATTCCGAGAACAACGTTCAGGCATTCTTAAGGATCTTCAAACGGTAATTTTCGAAGGAGGCAATTCCGTCAATGGACATGAACCGTCGTAGGGGCCTATGAAGAGGGAGCTTGGAGGGAGGATTAATCAATCCCAACATCGTTGATGGCTCTTGGGTGTACGCTGGTCCTCATGCTCCTCCTCCTCCTCATCATCATCATCCTCATCATCATCATCTTCGTCCTCCTCCTCCTCCTCCACCTCCACCACCTCCTCCTCCTCCTCTTCCTCCGCCTCCTCATCTTCGTCCTCCTACTACTCCACCACAACCACCTCCTCCTCCTCCTCTTCCTCCTCCTCCACCTCCTCCTCCGCCTCCTCCTCCTCCCCCTCCTCCTCCTCCTGCTCCTCCCCCTCCTCCTCATCCTCCCCCTCCTTCTCCTCCCCCTCCTCCTCATCCTCCTCCTCCTCCTCCTCCTCCTCCTCCTCCTGCTCCCTCGCCCTCCCCCTCGAGGATGGCGCCCCGAGGCGTGAGACCGCGGAGGGAGGGAGGACCCTGAACAGCGAAGCCTCCGCCCGGAGGCCCCCTCTCTTCTCCACCGGTCTTGTCGTTCCCGTTTCGGCCTGGCACCAGCCTGATCCTGATGGGCAAGTTTTCCACCACCACCACCACCACCACCACCACCACCATAAGTAACGGGGGGAGGGGGTGTTCCTCCTCCTCCTCCTCCTCCTCCTCCTCCTCCTCCTCCGCCTCATGCTCCTCCTCCTCCTCCTCCTCCTCCTCCTCCTCCTTCTCCTCCTGCTCCTCTTCGTTCTCCTCATCCTCCACCTCCTCCCCCCCTCCAACTTATGGTGGTGGTGGTGGTGGAAAACAGGCCCATCTGATCCCGCTCGAGGGCGCACGACGCTCGCCATCGCTCGGACACCCCTTCCCCGTGCACTGCTCCGTGCCGTGCGCGCTGTTGCTCGCAGGATGGCCCAGGATGCTCCTCGATGGGCCCCCCCGGCGGAGAGATGCGCACGTCCGTGCGATGCCAAGATCTTGCCGTTCTCGCCTCGACCCAGGACCCTCCAGATCCCGCTTTGAGGGTGCGCGACGCGGGGGAGGACTGGCTCGGGGAGGGGGGAGAGAGAAGCACCGACGCAGCACTGGCAAGACGACGCCGACAGATCGGCGACAGGCTTAACCAGCCTCGAACGTATCCCTATCCCTAAGATGGGCGAACAAAAAGCGAGGACCATCTTAGGGATAGGCCCTCAAAAACTGAGGGAATCCTTAGGATCGGCATCGAGGTGAGGTGATGTCAAACATAGGGATAGGGATATGTTCCAGGCTGGTAAAGGCTCTCCATACCGACAGCGCTCGACCAAAACAATGCGCTTCGTTTCCGTGTAATGTTCGTTATCCCTCGTTGTCTCCAGCCCACCTCAGAGGCAAAGCGAGATCGAGACGAAAACGACCCACGAAATCGCCAAAACACCGTTTCGGTCCACCCCTGCATGGCGAAACCCCGCGATCCTGGGCGGGGCAGGCGAGGCGCAGCTGCTGGAGAGCCTCCCGAGGGTGGAAAGCCGGCGAGATCTCTGGAAAACATCCGAAGACCACGTCCCCCCCGTCGCCCCGTCCTGTGGCCATCCCTCCACTGGGGCTCCCAACTTCGCGCTTCGCGCTCCGCGAAGCGCGAAGCGCGAATAACTTCGCTCTCTCGCGCCGCCCCTCCAAAGGGAGAAAAGGAGGACGAGGAGGAGGGGGAGAAGGAACGAGGACCGCGAAGCGCGAATAACTTCGCGCCCTCGTGGGAGCCCTTGCCTCCTCGTTCTCGTTCTCTCCCCTCGGCTCCTCCTCGTTCCAGCCCCCTCGCCTCCCCCGTCCCTCTTCCCTCTCAACCCCCTGCACTCTCTCGAGGGCGAGGAGGACGAGGAAGAGACGAGGAGGAGACCTCGTTCTCCCACACCCCAGTTGGGACGAGGAAGAGGAGCCCCTGCGAGGAGGACGAGGAAGAGACGAGGGCGAGGAGGACGAGGAAGAGACGAGGAGGAGACCTCGTCCTGCGCCCATCCCACACCTGAGCTTGCCCCTGACCGCACTCTGACGGGCGCTCAGGGAGGGTGACCGAGGTGGCTGGTGCGGTAACGGACCCTACAGGGGCCCTCAGGGGCCCCCAGGGGCCCACAAGAAGCCCGAATGGGCCCCCATTGGGGGGGCACCTTTCGTCACCCCCCAAAAACAAGTCACCTCCCCCTTGGGCCAAGTTCTTGGGGTGGGAAGGGCGAAGGACGAGGGAACGGAGAGAACGAGGTCTCCTCCCCGTCTCCTCCTCGTCCCCCCCTCGCCACCCGCCCGATGCTGCTGCGCCCCACGGGGCGCAGGATCAGGCACGTCCCGCCCCACGCCGCCTCGGTGTCGGGCGCGACCAGGGCGATCGGCTTCAGCCCTCGGCCGCGAGCGCGGTTGTCGCGGTCGCCGCCGCCGTCGGGAGGGAGGACGGCGAGGGAAAAGGAAGTGGGAGGAGGAGGAGGAGGAGGAGGAGGAAGAGAAAGAGGAGGGCGAGGAGGAGGAGGCGTCCAAACGCTACGGCCATGGCCCTAGAGAGTCCGCCGAGCGTTTAAAAAAAGGAGTCCAAGAGAAGCGACCGCTACAGCCATGACGCTGGATTTCGCCCAAGGTCACAAATGAGTTCAAGGAGGAGGGAGGGGAAGTGAAGGTGAAGGAGGGGGAGAGAGGGGGGGAGCATTTTTGGGGGGGTGGAGCGCTGCGCAGCTGAGCATCGCGCCAAAAATGTATGCGGATATGGCAAAATCGGCCAATTGCGTCGGAAGCGACGGCTGAGGCATGAGAGACCCACTTCAGCAAGGGCTCCAACCTGAAGTCCACATCCCAGCGGGAAGCCGCCTGCCTGGGCGCGGTACCACCTGCGCTGATCGAATCATTCGCTTCGCCAACGCATCGTCTGGGGCCCCGGCATGACGCAGAAGATCGTGAAAGTCACCGGCAGCACTGAACTGAACCGCGAGGTCTTCTATGAACTGTGGTACGCCTACCCCCTTCTTGAACGCCATCGCGAGCCTCTCGAAATCCGATCTTGCCGTGAGCGCCACTAGCGGCAGAAAGTTGAAGCTGTAGTCAAATTTCAGCAACAGGGGGATGCGATCTTGCAAGCCCTTCTACGCATTCAGCTTCAACCAGAGGTTCTTCCGACGCTGCGCCACGCAATGCTCGACTGCCTCTATCTGCCATGCAAACACCGCCTATGATTGATGCTATTCGAGGCCGCGTGTCCGAAAATGGTGTCGCCCACATTGCAGCAGCTCAGCTCGTGGCAACGACGGCCGCATGGCGCCCAAGGACCTCCAGGATCGCGTCGGCTGCGAACTGCTGTTCGCCGCGCACGTAAGGGTCGAACGAAAGAGACGGCAACACATGCTGCAGACCGCCGGCTTTGCGACAGATGCCAAACGTGCCATTCAGATCGAACCCCATGAGCAAGGATGGTCGACCACACGACCACGTCAATGTGTTGGTGTATCCACTGGCAGATCGTGTCGACGGTGTGGCGGTGTCTCGCTTGACTGGTCGTAAGCTGCTCGTGTGTGTGTGTGTGTCTCCGCATGTCCTAAACCAGCTCGGTTTCAGTGGAAAGTGCAGCAGGGGTACCTGCACAACAAACCTGATCCTAAGCCGAAGGCAGCCACCCTTCCTTGTAACACAGCAGGCACTGCAGGAGCATCGTACTGAACTCTGTGCTTGATACCATTTGCGAAGCAACAGTGCGATACCGCAAGCATGATGAACATTCTTGCTGGGCAAGACATCCGCACCGTATCACAAAATGAAATCGCAGCGCGCGAGGACTGGAGACAGCGTGAGAGAGAGAGGGGGGAAAAGGAGAAAGAGGGAGGGGGAGGAAGAGGAGGAGGAGGAGGAAGAGGAGGAGGAGGAGGAGGAGGCGAGGAGGAGGAGGAGGAGGAGGAGGGAGAAGGGGGGGACGGGGGGGAGGAAGAGGAGGAGGAGCTAGGAGCGAGGAGCGAGGAGGAGGGAGGATGAGAGGAGGAGAAGGAGGATGATGATGATGAGAGGAGGAGGAGGAAGGGAGGGGAGGAGGAGGAGAGAGGAGGAGGAAGAGGAGGAGGAGGAGGAGGAGGAGGCGAGGAGGAGGAGGAGGAGGAGGATCAGGGAGGAGGGGAGGGAGGGGGAGGTGCAGGAGGAGGAGGAGGGAGGGGAGGAGAGGAGGGAGGGGAGGGAGGAGGAAGGAGGAGGGGAGGAGAAAGGGAGGGAGGAGGGAGGGAGGGGAAGGAGGACGGAGGACGAGGAGGAGCCGCGAGAGCGCTGGGCGCGCCGAAGGCGTTCTTGGTCTCGGGGCTGGCCCCGGCCGCGACCAGCAGCCGCACCACCTCTCGGGGAGCGGGTGGCGCCGCCGACGTGCGGCCGCGGCCCCGCCGCCCGCGGCGGCCCCCCTGCGCTTGGCGACCGGCTCCTCGATCCCTCAGATCCTCCTCCTCCTCCTCCTCATCCTCCTCCTCCTCTCTTCCTCCTCCTCCTCCCCTCCTCCTCCTCTCCTCGATCCTCCTCCTCCCCCTCAATCCTCCTCGCCCTCGGTTCTCCTCCTCTCCTCTCCTCCTCCCCCTCCTCTTCCTCGATCCTCCTCCTCCTCGATCCTCCTCCTCGATCCTCCTCCTCGATCCTCCTCCTCCCCCTCCACCTCCTCCTCCTCCTCCTCCTCCTCCTCCTCCTCCTCCTCCTCCTCATCCTCCTCCATCTCCATCTCCTCCTGCTCCTCCCCCTCCTCCTCGCGGCAAAGCTGGCCGCGGCGCTCTGGCGACAGGTCGGGCGCGGCCCTGGGCGCCCTCCGGACGGGGACTCGGCCAACGGGCACGACCCGGCGAGGCCAACGGGCACGACCCGACGACGCCAACGACGACGACGACGACGACGACGACGACGACGACGGCGGCGACGGCGGCGGCGGCGACGACGACGACGACGGCGACGACGATGACGACGACGCAAACACAGACGAAGAAGCCGCAAACACAGACGAAGAAGCCGCCGGCGGCGACGACTGCGCAGGCGACTCAGCCGGCGACGACACCAACGCCGACGCCGCCGCCTCCGCCGCCCACGGCGAGGAGTGCGCACGGGGGGCGCGGCGGGCCGTCTCGTGGCCCTCCTCGGCGGCCAGGTGGAGGGCCTCCCGCGGGGGGGGGGGGCGGAGGCGGCGGCCAGAGCCAGGCCGGCGGCGTGGCGGCGCGGCAGGGGGCGGGGCCGCGAGGAGTGGGGGACGCACTGGCCCAGGTCAACCCAACCCCAGGTCAGTCGGGCCCTGCAGGGCCCTGCAAGACCCTGCGGGACCCTGCAGGACCCCGCACGCTGGCCTATGGTCAGTGCACCCCCCCAGCTATGCAGGATCCTGCAAGGTCCGGCCCTCCGGCGGACCACTGACCCCCGTCGCTTGAGACCCGCAGAAGGCTCGGGGGGCCCACGGAGGGCCCTCGGAGTGCCCTCAGAGGCTCGGGGGCCTTGTGGGGGGGGCCCTCGGGGGGCCCCTCGGAGGGCCCCTGGAGGCCCCGGGCGACCGCTGGGGTGGCGACGCGAATGCCTCCCTGTGCTGCCCGGTTGGGCGCAGCCTGGTGGAGAGAGGGAGGGAGGGAGGGAGGGAGGGAGGGAGGGAGGGAGGGAGGGAGGGAGGAAGGGAGGAGGGAGGGAGGGGGGCGAGGAGGAGGAGGAGGAGGAGGAGGACGGGGAGGGAACGAGAAGGAAAAGGAGGAGGAGGAGGAGGAGGAGGAGGAGGAGGAGGAAGAGGAAGAGGAGGAGGAGGAAGAGGAGGATGAGGAGGACTACGGGAAGGAGGAGGACGACGAGGAGGAGGAGATTCTAATGCAACAGGCCCCGCCTCATGTTTCCATAACGTCAGGAAGGAGGGGGGAGGAGAAGAGACCGATCGTCTTGAGATTCCGAAGGAGGGAGAGGAGGAGGAGGAGGAGGAGGAGGGGAGGAGGAGGAGGAGGAGGAGGAGGAGGAGAGGAGGGGGAGGAGGGGGAGGGGGGGAGGAGAAGGGGAGGGGGAGGAGAAAAGGGGGAGGGGGGGAAGCGGAGGAGGGGGAGGAGGAGGAGAGGAGGAGGAGGAGGAGGAGGAGGAGGAGGAGGAGGAGGAGGAGGAGGAGGAGGAGCAGCAGGAGGAAAGTAGAGTAGACAGGAGGATGAGGAGGAGGAAGAGACTGATCCTCTTGAGAATCCGACAGGCCGACCGAGGAGGAAGAGGAGGAGGAGGAGGAGGAGGAAGTAACACGGGGGACGGAGGAGGGCGGGGGAGGGCGGAGGGAGGAGAGAAGAGGAGGAGGGAGGAGGAGGAGGAGGAGGAGAAGGAAAGGAAGATGGAAGAGGGAGGAGGAAAAGAGGAGGACACTAGCCAGGTGCGCGCGCCGTATCTGACATCCTGCCCCTCCCGCCCATACCGCCGCCGATGGGTGTACTGGCCGCCATGGATCCCCCAGAGGACCCCCTGAAGGCAGCAGCTCCCTCAGTGGCTGCGGGAAGCTATCGCGCAGCGCGAGGAGCGAAGAAACCCAGGATACCCTGACGAGAAGCAGATGGTCTCTGGATGCGGGCCCCCACTGCACGGCTACCCTGAAGGGGCCCTGGGCCACACAAATGAATACACACAAATAAAAGGATTCACCATATTTTCCTATATGTCCTGGGTTTTTGTCTCCCCCCCACTTCCCATATTTTCCCATGTTTTCCTGGGAGTCGACGATGAATTGTGTCTGTGTGCTTTTTCCCCTTCCTGATGCCCTTACTTCGTTTTCCCAGTTTCGGGCCTCTCCTGGGAGGCCCGCCTCGCCACCGCTGGCTTCGCCATTGACACTCTGCTCAGAGAATGCACCCCAGGAGAGAGGTACAGAAGGGGCGTTGACCTAAGGAACCCTAAATAAGGAACGAGGCCTCTTTTTTCCATAAGTTTAACTTCGATTTCCCATCGAAACCCTATGCAAAACCAAGGGCGAACTGCAAAACAACTAAGGAACACCGAGCCCCTCCCCAACGAAAGGGTTCCTTCCTCAGTGCCCCGACTGTACTGGCAATGGCGGTATTGGCACCTCTGGGTTTCCAGCGCCGGGGGTTGCGACGAGGAGGACCCTAATACAAAAGGATCAGGGATGGAGGAGGGAGAGGAGAGTAAGAGGGATGGCTATGGGGGAGACAGAGACGGAGAGGAAGCGAGGGAGAAGGAGAGAGTCTCGCAGTCGTCGCAGTCGTCTCGGGTCGAGAAGGGAGAATTACGGATCCAATGTCGAGCATCGATATCTACATCATCTTGGGCCTTACTGGGCCTCCTGGGGACGCCTGCGTCGCCACGGTTGCCCAAAGCCTGGCGCTTCAGCCAACGCTCGGCCAGCGTTAGGGCTCTGGCCGCCGCCGCCGCCGCCACAGCCGCCGCCGCGGCCGCCGTCGTTGCCGTCGTTGCCGTCGGCAGCATACGTGGTTGATCCTATGGCGGCCCTACAAGCCAAAGCGCTGCAGACACCGTGAGACCTCTAAAACAAGGCTAAGATCGGGATAAATCGCTCCAGAGCGTTCCAGAGCGCTCTCAGAGCGTTCCGGAACGCTCTGGAGCGGCAGCGGCGCCCAATACATCCTCCAAACCCGCCGATTCTCAGAGATTTCGAGTTATCCCGATCCGATTTTGTCCCGATCTTCGCGTCGTTTTACAGATGCTCCTGGAGAAGGTCTGAACGCATGCTGAGGTCCGTCCTGTGGGCCTCTCTTGGCCGGCTTGGGGAGGGAGGAGTGGGGGATGTGCTCTGACTTGTTCGGAGGGGTTCGAAGGCGTCCGGCAACTTCCCGGAGCCTCTTGGGGGTTGGATGGCGGTGCTGGCGTCTGTGACGCCACTCTTGCGGCTGCCGGGGAGGCGTCGAGGGCCCTGTTTGGCTTCTCGTGGGCCGCGCCGCCTTGGGGCTCTCATGGACTGTCGCGAGGCCCTCTGGGGAGCCTCGGAGGCCGTCTTGGGGCGGTCCTGGAGGCTCATGGTGCTGTCTTGAGTGGTCGGGAGTCGGGAAACAAGCATTGCAAAATCAAGACCAAAAACGCCTATGGGGAATCAATGCGTGTTGCCCCTCAGAGCCTTCTCGGAGCGTATTGGAGGATTCTGGAGCCATCTTGCGGCACGGTGGGGCCGACTTCGAGCTTGTCCGAAATCCGCAGGGAGTTTTAGGGCCGGTCCAGCGGTCGTCTGCAGCCGTGCTGGAGCCCTCGGGACCACTATGAGGAGGCCCTGGGACCCCATGCCAACGGCCTGTGTCGATAGATGCATGTGCTTATATGCACGCATGCATGCATGCATGCATGCATGCATACATTCATACATACATACACACATACAAGCATAAAAGCATACAAGCATACAAACATACATCCATACATACATCCATCCATACATACATACATACATACATACATACATACATACATACATACATACAGCCATACATACATACATACATACATACATACATACATACATACATACATACATACATACATACATACATACATACATACATTCATGCATGCATGCATGCATGCATGCATGCATGCATGCATGCATGCATACACATATAAGTACATACATGCATACAGACAATCAAGCATACATATGTCGGTATGCATGAATGTTTGTGAGTACATGCATGTGTGCATGTGCTGATGTGTGTATGTATGAATGCATGTATGCATGTATGTCGGTGTGTACTTGTGTGTATGTATGTATGATCGTATGTGCGCATGCATGGATGTACGCATGTGTGTATTTGGATGTATGTACGTGTGTTTGCATTGTGTACGTGAATGTATGTATGTAAGTGTGTATGTATGTATGGATACTTGCATGGTTGTCTGTATGTATGTATGTGTATGTGTGTATGTATGTCTGTATGGTTGTGTGTACGTGTGTATGGATGGATTGATGTACGGACAAATAAACGTAAGTATGTGTGCATACATGTATATGTGAGCGCATGTATGTATCAATGTATGTATGCGTACTTATGTATGCATGTAAGGATAGGTGTCTGTATGTATGTATGCATGCATGTATGAGGATGTATGTGTACGCACGTGTGTATGAATGTATGGATGCATGCATGTATGCATGTGTGAGTGGACGGATGTCTGTATGATTGTTTGTATATGTGTATGAATGTGTGCATGCATGTATGTAGTCGTGCATGGATTTGCACATGCGAATCTACATATATGCGTATGTATGTATGCCTGCACGTGCTTACATGTGCATAGTTGTATGTATGGATGGATGGATGGATGGATGTAGTAGAAGCAAACAAATGAATACATTCACATGCGTAATAATGTTAATGTGTCCTCCTATACGTCGTTAGCACCCCATCCATCCCGCTTCCTCTCCCTGGCCTCGCCGCCTCCTCGTCCTCCTCTTCTCCACGTCGCCCCCATGCCTCCTTCCGCGTCGTGCTGCCACCCGCTGCAGTTCTCCACCACTGCGCACTGGAGGCACGAGGTGGAGTGCCTTCGGGTCCCCTGGCCTGGCCCCGCAGGCCCCAGCTCTCAATCCTGAGGACTTTGTGAGGGGGCCCGGACCAACAGGTGCCAAATCTCAATCCTGAGGACCTTTGGGAGGGGCCTCGCAAGTCTCAGCTCGCAATCCTTGGCCTGGCCTCGCAGGCCCCAGCTCTCAACCCCGAGGACTTTGTGAGGGGGCCCGGACCAGCAGGTGCCAAATCTCCTGGGGCTTGCCGCGTGCCCCATGGGGCGCATCGCGTGACCGACCTCTGGGGCCCGGGGCATCTTCGGGCATGAGTTGGTCTGGCCCAGGAGGGCCCCAGGGCAGGCCCGGAGAGCCCACTGAAGGATGTGGGCTCTCTCGCCGTCTCGGCCTCCAGAGGCCCCCAAGACCCGTACAAGACGGCCCAGGAGACTTCCACGAGGGCAACACGGCCAAAGAGGGCCCCGAGACGGACCAAAATACCACCAAGGCGGCCCAAGAGGCTGCAAAGACTCCCAGAGCCCCGACGAGGGGCCCAGACGGACATCTCAAGCCCTCGGCCCCGAGAGGCCCACAAGAGGCCCCAAGAGGCCCCCAGAGGCCCCCAGAGGCCCCCAGGAGGCCCCCAGGAAGCCCCATGTGCCCCAAGAGGCCCCCAGGAGGCCCCCAAGAGGCTGCGAGGAGCTTCCAAAACTGCACCACATGAGGCCCCCGAGAGCGCTCCGAAGAGACCCCAAGAAGCATCCCTGAGGACTCTGACCCACAACCCAGGCACCGTGGCGGGATGGGCCAAAGGCCATTAGGCATCATCATCCTCATCCTCATCATCATCCTCATCCTCATCCTCATCCTCATCCTCATCCTCATCCTCATCCTCATCCTCATCCTCATCCTCATCCTCATCCTCATCCTCATCCTCATCCTCATCCTCATCCTCATCATCATCCTCATCCTCATCCTCCTCCTCATCCTCATCCTCATCCTCATCCGCATCATCATCATCTCCTCATCATCATCATCATCATCATCATCATCATCATCATCATCATCATCATCATCATCATCATCATCATCATCATCATCATCATCATCATCATCATCATCATCATCATCATCATCATCATCATCATCATCATCATCATCATCATCATCATCATCATCATCATCATCACCATCATCATCATCATCATCATCATCATCAGCATCAGCATCAGCATCAGCATCATCATTAGCAGCATCATCATCATCAGCATCAGCATCAGCATCAGCATCAGCATCAGCATCAGCATCATCATCATCATCATCATCATCATCATCATCATGGTCATCATCATCAGCATCATCATCATCATCATCATCAGCATCATCATCATCAACATCAGCAGCATCAGCATCATCATCATCAGCATCATCATCATCATCAACAGCATCATCATCGCCATCATCATGATCAGTAGCATCAACATAATCGTCACCATCAGCATCATCATCAGCATCGTCGTCATCACTCACCACCACCACCATCAGAAACATCATCATCACCATCCATCAGCATCATCAGCATCATCATCGTCATCGAGCAGCAGCATCGTCACTGTCACTACCATCACATCACCACCACCATCATCAGCATCATCACCATGAGCCGCAGCAACATCAACATTAGTACAATCATCAACATCATCATCAGCAGCATCAGCATCATCGGCGGCAGCAGCGGCGTCGCCGTCGTCATTATCACCACCACCATCAACATCAGAAGAACAAGACCCTGCACCAGCGCAAGCACCAGCGCCAGCAGCATCATCATCATCAGCATGAGTACTCGTCACCACCATCACCAGCATGTTGCGCATCCGTATACTTGTCCTCACCACCAACATCATCAGCAGCAGGATCAATGTCGGCATCACCGTCATCAGCATCACCGCAGTCATCACGTTCACCATGACCCACATCATCATCATCGTCATCGGCATACTCACCATCATCATCGTCATCACTATAATCATCGTCACCACCGTAATCATCAGCATCATCACCACCGTCTTCGTCATCATCATCGTCTTGGCCATCACCAACCTCATCATAAGCATCATCATCACCATCATCATAATCATCGTCGTCATGTGCCATCACCAGCAACCATATCATCGTCATATGCAGCATCACTTCCAGCATCGCATCAGCCCCATCATCATAATCCTCCTCCGCCTCACTACGATCGCCATCACAATGATCAACATCGCCCATAGCAGGATCATCAAGAGCAACAACAACAGCATGATCCGCATCATCACCATCATCATCCATCGCATCGGTATCAGCATCATCAACACCGTCGCCATCGGCACCATCGTTTTCACCAATCCATACATGAATCAAGATTCCACGCTACCGCGTCCCAGTTCGATCCTCTCCAAGCTTCATCACCCCTCCACACGCAAACACACACACACACACACGCACACACACACACACACACACACACACACGCGCGCGCGCATTCGCTCGGCGCGCCGAATTGCCATCGCTGGGTCTCCTCCAGTTCAGGTCCTGGCATCGGCGAGAAGGTTCTGACAAAGTACAGGGCGACGCAACACGGACGCAGACAAGAGGGACGAACGAAACAGACGCCTCAGCTTGGACAAAGTGGAGATGATGTGTTTCGCAAGGCAATCGGGCCGAGCGCGACCGACGGAGAACGGGAAGGGGGGGCCTCCTCCTCCTCCCCCTCCTCCTCGTCCTCCTCTTCCTGTGTTTTTTTCCTCCTGCTCCTGCTAATGATCCTTCTCTATATCCTCATCATCCTCCTCTTCTTCCTAACGCGCACCCCCGTTCGGAGCTCCGCGCCAACTGTGTGCGCTGGAGACAAACTCGGCTTCTTTATTTTGGCCCAAAGCTCTGATGAAAGTCCGATTGACGGTTGCGCTGGAAGTCCGATCCACTTGTGGCCGTCAGCACAAGCTCTGTTTAGGTATGACTGGAACTCTGATTCAAATCTGGCTCTCAGACCCAAGTCTGATCTAGGTAGGTACGACTGGGAACTCTAAGTTTGGTATGATTCCATTTTGGTTTGGACCTGCCGAGACCAATGTCGCGGCGTCAGCCCAAAAGGCTGCCGGGTCGGCTCCGCGCACGCGTCTTCAAGAACAACAAAAGAAATACGCAATCCATGCGGCAGGTCATGGCTGGGGGCCCAGCCGCCAGCTGCCAATGACTGCGAGCTGGGCCCGCCTGCGCGCGCCGCCCTGCGGCGACGCCGCTTGGTCGGAGGCCTGCGCGAGGGGCACGGGGCAGCGCCCACCCGCCTGCGCGGCCTTGCTCAAAACTGCACAACGGCAGCTGGGATAAGAAAAGGCTCGCCCGAGGCTCGCACGCCAGGGCTGCCGGCTGCCGCGCCGCGAAAGAACGCGCAGCGCGGCAACCGCCCCAACCCCCTCCGCCCGCCCGGGACAGGTCGGGGGCAGGCAGCGCAGAAGAGAAACGCCACATTTTTCGGAAGGTTCGGGGGCTCGGGAAACGCCCTGAGAGGCTTCAAGGAATGGGGAGGACCTGGGAGGGACTCGGAAGGTGTTCGAGGGCGGTGGCCCGGGAAGGCGTTCCGGGAGGTTAGGAAGAGCGGTAAGGGCTGGGAAGGATTGCTCAGAGGTTAGGAGGAATGCCGAGAGCCTAGCAGGGCTTTGAAGGTGCAGTGCAAGGGGGGGTTGGCTTGGCAGCTTTTCGGAAATTTCTGGAGGGTGCCGGAGCATTGGATCCGCTTCCAAACGCTCGGAAAATTGCTCCAGAAATAGCGGGGGGCAATTGGACACGGAAGGTGTCGGAGCATTTTGGACCGCAGCGGGAGCTCCTTCGGGCGCATTCGGGGGCGAGGTTTCCAAGCAGTACAAGGGGACAGGAACTCGGGTGGAAACGAGGGCGGGGGCGATGGGCGAGAACGAGGGCGAGAACGAAGGCGAGAATGAAGGCGGAAACGAAGGCGGGAACGAGGGCGAGAACGAGGGCGGGGACGAAGGCGGGAACGAAGGCGGGAACGAGGGCGAGAACGACGGCGAGAACGAGGGCGGGAACGAGGGCGGGAGCGAGGGCGGGAGCGAGGGCGGGACCGACGGCGGGAATGAGGGCGGGGGGCCGCGCCTCCGGGATTCCTCCGGGCGTCTCTGGAACCTCTGGGCGCTTCTTGGAGTCCCCCGGGCGCCTCCGGGAAACCTCGGGGCACCTCTGGGGTACCTCCGGGGAACCTCCAGGGAACGTCGGGGAAGTAGTAGGTCTGGTTTGGGTAAAACGCTGATTGATGTCTGGTCGAGGTCTGTTTAGGGTATGTTTGAAGTCTGTTTGAGGCCTGGCCGAAACTCTGTTTCAAGTCTGATTTCCCTGGGCGGTCCTTGGGTTCCGCGGGCGGCCAGAATCCCATGCAAATTACGCGAACCTCGCGATACAGAAGCCAAACCCCCACGAAATTCATGCGAAATTCCCATCAAATTGCGCTCCAGAGGCGAGAATCCCGCGTAAGTGATGCAATTGATTATTCTGGAGGCCAAAAAAATCATGAATTGCATCCGATTTGCGCTCCCAAGGCCAAAATTCTTTGGAAATCGCCGATGCTCGCGCTCCCGAAGCCCGAATCCCCATTAAATTGCGCCAGGCTTGCGTTCTGGAGGCCAAAATCCCTTGCAAATTACGATGGAAGTGCGCTCCCGAATCCAGGTTCCTTTGTAAATTACCCCAGATACTCGATCCGGAATCTAGAGCCCCACGCAAATTACGATATTTCGTGCTCTGGAAAACAGATTACGCCACAGTCGCATCACTTTCTCATAGAGAGGGGGCCGACTGCAGGGCGCGAAACCCTCACGGATATCCGGTGCAAATCTATGCGTTTGCTTGACGCGCTACGCTTCGACACACCTCCCTCTGTCCAGACGTCAACACTGGTTCAAGTCTTCGTCGTTCTACCCGACATCCTACCTCGACGCCCTATCCGCATTCAGCATCGTCATCATTACCACCACCACCACCATCATCATCGTCACCACCACCACCACCATCCTCCTCCTCCTCCTCCTCCTGCTCCTCCTCCTCCTCATCATCATCATCGTCATCATCATCATCGTCGTCGTCGTCGTCCACCATCATCATCATCATCATCATCATCATCATCATCATCATCATCATCATCATCATCATCATCATCATCATCATCAGAATCATCATCATCATCATCATCAGCATCATCATCATCAGCATCATCATCATCATCATCATCATCATCATCAGCATCAGCATCAACATCATCATCATCATCAGCAGCATCATCATCATCATTTGTATCAGCATCATCATCATCCGAATCATCATCCACAGCAGCAGCAGCAGCAGCATCAGCATCATCATCAGCATCATCATCACCACCGTCATCATCATCATCATCATCATCATAATCATCAGCACAATCATCAGAATCATCATCATCAGCATCAGCATCATCATCAGCATCGACATCATCACCACCACCACTATCATCAGCATCATCATCGACATCATCACCACCACCACCACCATCGTCAGCATGATCATCAGTATCAGCATCAGTTTCATCATCATAATCATCAGCATCAGCAGCAGCATCATCATCAGCGTCAGCATCAGCATCATCATAATCGTCGTCGCCCTCAGTTATCATCGTCATCATTAGCATCACCATCGTCATGTCATCGTCATCGTCATCGCCATCACCATCATCATCGTCATCATCCTCATCTCATCCTCGTCCTCTTCGAGGGGTTGCTCGGAAGACTCGCGAACACGTTTTAGAACCTTCGAAAACCATAGAACACCGCCGAAAGAGAACTCCGCAACAACCCGTGCACCCCTGGCCCCTCACATTCGGAAAACACCTGGCATGTCCATACGTCTGCGAAAGATGCTTGCACCTAGGGGTTCTGACTTTGACTCGTTCAGGTGATTGGTTGGTCTGTCTGGGTTCTCGCCAAGTTTCGGCCCATGCCGCCTCGTGGGCGCTCCGTAAACACCTCGCGCTTGAGTGGTATGCCGAGGCTGCGCCACGCTACAGCCAGTGCTGCCGTGTAGGTGCTCCGTGCGCTGAGGAGGCATGCCGAGGATGCGCCACGCTGCCGCCCACACCGCCTCGTGGGCGCCCCACGTTCTGAGCTCACGCGGCATTGATTTCACCACATAGCTTACACAACATAGATTACATGTCGGTCGAAAGAAGTAGGTAGAAGCATGAAGTAGGAAGGCGGATATAGTGGATTGGGTCCAGGTCCTCCCAGAGAATAACCAAACACAGCAAAAGCATGCCGATTCTTGAAGTAGGAAGGCGCTTGAAATAGATTGGGATCTGGGAATCCAACGATACATACTTTCAACGACCGGCGTGTACACCACATAGATTACACAACATCCGCCACCGTGCCGCTGGGCACGGACTGGGCGTGTCATCAGGTCCGTTGCCCAATCCCCTGAGCCTCGGTCCTCGACCCTGAGGACTCTTGAAACGGCCCGGACCCCGAATTCACAAATCTCCTGGGGCTGGACGCGGTCTGTCGGGGGCGTCCCGCATCCTGGCGCGCGACTTTCTCGGGCCCAAGAGGCCCCAGAGACGGGTCAAGGGGGGCCCCGAGAGGCGCTCAAGACGGCCACAGAGGGAAGACGGCCCAGGGAGCCTACCAGACGCCCCAAGACTACAGGAACGAAAAGTGGCATAAACATAAAAACTCGGAGGTCCGCGCGGATTTCTCGGATCGGCGCTGGACCCCCCTCCCTGGCGCGCGGAGCGCGCCAGGGGCGGCGCCGGAGGCGCCGCCAGGGGGGTCCAGCGCGGATCCGAGAAATCCGCGCGGACCTCCGAGGTTTTTTGTTTATGTCATGCTTCGATCCTCTATCTCAAGAGGGCCCCAAGAGACCAAAATCAGTGGCTCTCAATTGTGCTTTTGGAGGTTTCGAGCCTTCTCGCCTTTTCGGTTTCCCAACGCTCCTTCCTCCACCGCCCGAGGCGCCCCCAGAGATCGCCCCAAGACGGCCCAACAAGACGCCTCCAGCAAGACCCCAACACCAGCTCGGGAGGGCCCCTAGACGGCCCACGAGGCGCCAGAAGACGGCCCCTTCCCACGGGGAACCCCTTCCCACATCCACGCCGGGCGCGCGGGGTGCGTGCTGCGAGCGGTGCGCATATGGTGCCCCTGGTGTGCGCGTGACGCGCGTGACGCGCGGGACCCCCCAAGACGCGGGCGCCGAGTCCCCGCGACCACGAAGGACGACGTCAACGACAACCAACGACGGCCGACAGCGACCACGACGACGACGACGACAACGACGACGAGGACGACGACAGACCTCGATGAGCACCGTGAACGACGACGAGAACCAAGCACGCGCGACGGCGAAGACATCCGGACCATCGAGGCCCTCCGAGGTCCCCAGAGGCCCTGGGGGCCTACTTGGCGCGGACAAGAAACGCCTCGAGTCCTCGGCTCTCATCCCCGAGCATGGCCAGGCTCGACGACGACGACGACGACGACGACGACGACGACGACGGCCTCAACGACGAAGACGACTGCGCCCTCCACGTCGCCTCGTCGAGCGCGACGGAGACGACGGCGGCGGCGACGGCGGCGCAACCCACGACGACGTCCTCCACGCGGCCGCCCCGGAGGAGCAGCCGGCACCCGTCCAGGTCCCCGCGCGAGGCAAACTCGCAGAGCTCCTTGGCGCGCGGGGGGCGGGCGGAGCCCCCACGTCCTCCAGCTCTTTGCTGCGGGCTCCTCCTCCTGCTCCTCCTGTTGTGCTCCAACTCCTCATCCTCCTGCTCCTGCTTTCCCTCTGGCCCTCCTGAGTCCTCATGCTCCTGAACCTCCTGCTCCTCCTCCTGCTCCTCCTCCTGCTCTTCCTCTTCCTCTTCCTCCGCCTCCTCCTCCTGCTCCTCCTTCTCCTCCTCCCCCTCCTTTTCCTCCTCCTCCTCCCTCTCATCCTCCTCCTCCTCCTCATCTTTCTCCTCCTCCTCCTCCTCCTCCTCCTTCTCATCTTCCTCCTCCTCCTCCTCCTGCTCCTCCTTCTCCTCCTCCCCCTCCTTTTCCTCCTCCACCCTCTCCTCCTCTCCTCCTCCTCCTTCTCCTCTCCTCCTCCTCTCCTCCTCCTCCTCCTCATCCTCCCCCTCCTTTCGCATATTCCTCCTCCTCCTCCTCCCTCCTCCTCCTCCTCCTCCTCTTCCTCCTCCTCCTCCTCCTCCTTCTCCTCCTCCTCAGCCTGTCGAAAAGGATTTCGATGCCGTCCCAAACGTGTCGAACTTATCGACAGCGGCTTGCTCTGCTCCTAGCCGTGCTTGACACGCTCGACGACTGCGTCCAGATCGCGGTGCATCTTGGGAGCCTGGGTGGTCTCTCACTGCAGCTCGGCTCGGCCAAGTCCTGCTGTAGCGTCTGCAAACCGTCGCGACGCTGAACATCGCCCTCGGCGCGAAACACCAATGTCCACATTCCCCTCCAACTCGTCCTGGAGGTGACCCGACTGGGCTGGGAACTCCAAGAGTTGCGGTTCACGCTTGCAGGGCGGCCTGTTGTACTCCTCCTCCACACGACCGGGCGGGGTAGCGGCCGTCCTGCTCCCGGCTTGCCCCCTCTGCTGGCAGCCCTCGAGTCGGAGACTCCCCGCAGGCACTCAGAGGCTACGAGCGCGAGCCTGGCTGGATCTTGCACCCGCTGTGATGCCCTGGTCCACTGCCGGCTGCTCGAAGCCCTGCTACATTCCGTCCTGGAGCTCAGCCGCAAAAACCGTTGGAGCAGACGACGACCACGCTGAGGAGAGGAAGGAGGGTCACTGACCAAACTACCAGGACTGCGAGCGGGCGGCCTCTGAACAGTCCCTGGGCCGAGGATAGACTCAAGGGGGGGCACCCGTCACCTGGGGAAACTCCACTTCGCAGCCTGTTCAAGCTGGCTGCTAGCGGGGGGCAGGCCCTGGCCAGCAACCCACGCTGGGAACCTGCGCGAGAGCGGCGCCCTGCACGGGGCCAGTGCCAGGAGGGGGAGCACGAGAGGAGCAAGGGCGAGGAGGAGGGAGCTGGAGAGGGGGGGGAGCAAAGGGGGAGCAGGAGCTGGAGGGGGGGAGGAGGAGGCTGGAGCAGGAGGGGGAAGGGAGGAGGAGGAGGAGAGGAGGAGAGGAGGAGGAGAGAGGAGGAGGAGGAGAGGAGAGGAGGAGGGAGGAGGAGGGAGGAGAGGAGGAGGAGGAGGAGGAGGAGCAGGGGGGGCCGGCGTGGAGGGGTGGGGGGGGCCCAGCCCCCGCCGGGGCCGATGGGTCCTGACACGGGCCCGTCGCCGCGGGTGCCTCGCCCTCGCTGGGAGGGGGGCTCTCGAAGAGGCAGGGGGGGCGAGCCGGCTCGCGCCTCCACCTCCTCTCCTGCTTCGCCCCGCGTCATCCTCCTCTCGTCGTCCTCCTCCTCCTCCTCCTCCTCCTCCTCCTCCTCCTCCTCCTCCTCCTCCTCCTCCTCCTCGATATACCCCTCGACCTCGTCTAAAACCTCCTTTTCCTCCCTCCTCCTCCTCTCCTCCTCTTCTCCTCCTCCTCCTCCTCCTCCTCTTCTCCTCCTCCCTCCCTCCTCTCCTCCTCCTCCTCCTCCTCCTCCTCTCCTCCTCCTCCTCTCCTCCTCCTCCTCCTCCACTCCTCCTCCTCCTCCTGATCCTCCGCCTCCTCTTCTTCCTTCTCCTCCTCCTCCTCCTCCTCCTCCTCCTCCTCCTCCTCCTCCTCCGCCTCCTCCTCCTCCTTCCCCTGCTCCTCCTCCATTCCGCTTCTTCATATATACCTCCTCCCTGTCGCACCCTTGCGCCGGTCGAATGGGCGGGCCGGGCTATTCGCCTGATACGCGTTCACCACTCATAATCCTGACCCCCCCAAAAAAAACATATTCGCAACAAGTTCACGGATGGAGGGCGGATCGACCTCAAAATGTGTCTCTCGCTTTCGCGCCACGCCGCAATTCGTCGTAAAAGTTCGCGAGATTCTACTGATGGAGGGCGGGTGGCTTTCACGATGTGGTTCTCGCCTCAGCGCTGCGCACATTCGTTCTCACTATTTGAGAGAGAACAAAAAAAGAGCTTCACGGATGGCGAGCGGCTCCTGCCCAAAATGTGGTTCTCGCCGTGGCGCCGCGCACATTCGCTCCAAACTTCACAGGGAACTTCACGGGTGGAGGGCAGCTGTGTTTGTCAAAATGCGGCCATCGCCTGAGAACCGCTCATGTTCGTCCTGAGAAATTGCATTGCAACCCGCGGATGTGCATGCGCACCGTCCAAGAAACGGTGCAAGGACTCGACATCGGAACGTAGGGGTGCAACCGTCACGTTGACTCGTGGTGTCGAGGTTCAAGGTATTGTGTTGTGGCACGGCTCAGGACCCCGTTCACGAATCAGGACCGTCATGCCTTGAATATGATAAACCAGGTTCTGCGTTCACGAATGTTGCTTTGGCTTGTGCTCACGAAGCTGCGCAGTTTATAAACATATCGCCTTTGCTTGTAGAAATGCTTCGCCTAAGGCGCATTCATCCACGGCCATTACCCATGATGTTTGATGAATTCCCGTGCACGATGGTCTGGCACAGTTCCGGATATTCACACGGTTGTCCTCCAGCGGGGCACTTCCATCAGCGAAACTGAATTACTGTAGGGGCTTCTGATGAAGGGACTTGGAAAGAGGTATGATTGCATTATTACTGGGCTTTGGGTTTATACTGGTTTTGTTGATCCTCCTCCTCCTCCTCCGCCTCCTCCTCCTTTTATCCTCCACATCGTCCATCCTCACCAGCAGTCATCATCATCAGCTGCAGCAGTAGCAGCAGCAATAGCCGCGCCATCACCACCAACAGCATCACCATCATCGTCATCATCACCAGCATGACCATCACCAGCATCATGGCCTCCATCCTTTTCGGCAAAATCACCATCGGCAGCAACACCAGCATCATCAGCACCATCACCATCATCACCACCACCACCATCATTATCAGCATCATTATTATCATCACCGTCTCTATCACCAGCACCATCACCATCGACAGTATCACAGGTATCGTCGATGAGCCCGAATCGCGGTGCGAAGGCGGTAAAAGACGGGACCGGCATAGCGGTGATGTGTGTTGAACTGGTGGCGGGTAAGTACCACGGGGCCCTGTGCGCAGGGCTCCTGCCACTCCGAGGACCTTGATGCCCCAGGGAGGTGGGTGGGTTGTTCAGACCGGCCGAACGCCCGAGCCCAAACTGCAACAGACGTCGGGCAGAGGAAGATACACGATCGTGATGGCACGCGGGGGCGTACCCTCGATGAGCCCGAATAGCGGTGCGACGGTAGAGGTAAACAATTACTGAACACTCCCCCTCCCCCCAACTCAATGTTGGCACGCGCGGAAAACGCTGCGGTCGAAGTGCATCTCATCAGACCCACCGCCAACTTTGCACATTGGGGGGAGGGGGGAGACGCTCACAGAGGAATTTGGCACAAGCGTTCGCGAATTTGTTCCGAGGCCTGGATGGCGGCCAGAGACGGGCACGAGGTGGCGGCGACGCCTCTTCTACGGGTGGCGCCACAGCGGGGCCGCCTCGTGCGCGGGGCCCCTGCCACTCCCGGGAGCTCGCTGCCGCCCCCACCGCGAGGGGAGCGAGACAGGAGCGCACCCCCGAGGCGAGGCGGCAGGACCCGGGGCCCCCCCCCCGCTGCGCTGCGGGCGTCGGCCCAGCCGACGTCACCTCGCTCCACGGCGGCAGCATCTGTGGCACCAGGCCCGCAGGGAGGGAACAAAAACCCTTCGTCGTGATTTTTGTCGCGACTGGAGGGGGTCCTGGGGGAAGCCAGGACCCCCACAAGATCTTGCGAAGCCAGGTCCCCAACAAGACCTCAAGGCCGTCTTTCGGCCGATCCGGGCCCGAAAGACTGAGAGAACCTGCACCAAACGGAACAACCTAAGGAGAAGCAAGACCTTGCCAGCTCAAGCGGGGCTCTTGGGCCGTCCACGGAGCCTCTTGGGCCGTCTTGGATGAGTAGGCGACGGAGCGTTGTCCTCACCAGAATAATACTTCTGGAAATGGTTTTGAAACCACTTTGACGGCCAGCCCCAAAGTTTAAGATTGGTTTCTGACCTTCCTTTGGCTCGAATCAAAAAGCTTTGAACTGAACAGATGGATCCCTATATTGCCTTCCCTGGCCATCGCACCAAACGCGGTTGGTCACGAACACCACATAGGTTCGGGAAGCCCCGTTATATGTGTGTATATATATATGCATAGGGGGCTCCTTGTATGTTCACGGGGGCCAATGATAGGTTCATGGAGACCACCTGATGAGATTGTCTCTAAGTTCCGGGGGACCCCTTGCAGGTTCGGAGGGTGCTCCCTGTCGGCTCCGAGGAATCATCCTTGCCCGTGCGAGAGAAGCAAAACAAACTCAATTCAATTCACCTTGGCTGCCAGGGCAACTCGACAGCCACCACCTGGAGGCAAAATGGCTACGCGGGGCAAGGCGGAATACGAGGATGATCGTGAACAAGGGCGCCTCACGTCGCGCTTTGCGCTGCACGAAGCGCGAAGCGCGAATAACTTCGCGTTCTCGCGCCGCCCCCCAAGGACGAAGAGGACGAAAAGGAATCGGAGCCCAACCGCAAAGCGCGAATACTTTCGCGCTCTCGAGGGCGACCTTGATGAAGGGGATGAGAAGGGAAGAGTAGGATGAGGAGCTGTCAGATGTTCGCAACCGACTGCTGCCAGGATCATGGCGAGGCGGTGGAAGCTGTTGCTGGCTCGCCACCCACCGACGCAGGGATGCGACTTCCAGCGGGATCCCAAAAGCACGGGAAAGCCTACGTGGGCCCCAAGAGGGCCTCAATACAGCCCGAGGAGGGCCCAAGAAAGCACTCCAAGAGGGCCCATGCAATTGGCACATGGGTTGTTCTGCGGCTGTTTCCAAAAAACCCGCATGCTCAAGATGTGGGCCTGTTTCTAGATGATCAACCGCAGAACGGCTGCTACTCGTAAGCCAGCGACGAAAGGGCATACCAAGCGAATTCGGTCAATCGTAAGTCCAACCAAATACGTTGACAAACAAAATGGACTTGCACCTTGCACGACCACATGACTTAAAAATATGCCACCGCGGTGGAGGCGTTCTTGGGACTGGCACCGAGACCAAGCCCGTCAAGCGAGAGCACACTGATTATGTTCTGGCAGTTCAGACTGGGCTCAGCTGCGGCCTTGTGGTCGTTCAAGCCCAGAATCCCGCCCACAGCGTAGCCCGCAAACTTCAGGTTGCGGACGAAAAGGTTCAGGTAGACGATGCCAGCCACTCTTAGTGTGGCCCTGCACCACCTTCAGCTCCACCTTGCCGAATCGCAGCCAACGCCCAGACTCCTTCTCAGCGACATGGCCGGCGCTGAAGGCGCGGCCCTTGGAGCCGACCCATCTTCTCGTCAGGTTCACCGACCAGAAGTACATGTCAGCGCACGCCACGCCCATCTGCCGCGCCTCCGTATCGACGCTCAGCAAGGCGGCCCCGCGATTGGCACCCCCGCCGCGCGAACAGGTTGGCGAGAAGAGGGTCCCCTGTCGCCTGCGCCGACCCACCGGCCGCACCGGCCAGCGGCGGGGGCGGCCCCGAGGACGACGTGGGGCTGAGTCGGGCTGGGCGTCGGGTTGGGAGTCGGGCTGTTCGTCGTCGGGCACGCCACGCTTCCCGACACCGTCGCTGGGTATAGATTGGTGCAGCCCTCCATCAAGACGACTGTGTGGCCTATCAGGAGAGTGAAGCTTGACGACGTGCTGCAGGCCCCCAGCGTGACTTCGAAGACCGCCCAGTCGTCGTAATTGTCATTACCAGGGCAAGTGGAAAACAAGTTTGTCGAGAAGCCGTTCGCGCACTGCGAATCTAGGTAGGAGATGGACTTGTCGACTTACATAAAATCTGCATGCCGCGTGATCTGGTTGCCCGAACTGTCTGACAAAGTCATGGTGCCTGCATGGCTGCGTGCGTGCAGTGCAGAGTGAGTGCCAGTGCTGCACGAACGCGAGCAGCTTGCCTGCGGGCGAGAGGCAAGCGCGCACTTGTGTCCCATGCCTCCGCGAAACGTTCGCCCCTCCAGTTGCAGGCACACCCGCCAGCAGACTGGTTGCGGTGCGAGTGCCCCCCATGAACAGGAGCGTGATGAGCAACCCCTTGAGGGCCATCTCTGAAGGTACTGAATACAAGTGAGAATCTGGATGCCTGTTTCGCGCAAATGTGCTCTGGCCGCAATGTCCTGAGCCATGATGCCTTGAGCCAAAATTGGTACGGAAAGATGTGGGCCTTCTTGGGAGGCCCTCGGAAGCTTCTCAGCTTCCCCGACCCCCCAAGAGGGTCTGTTCTGGCTGTCCGTTCCGGCGCCGTGACGGGTCACCACGCGTGTTCCGGCAACGTCCGTTCCACCGCGCCTGTTCCCGCCACTTCCGTTCGGAACTCGTCGCGGGGATTCCCGCTGGACCCGTGCCGAACTTGTCTGGCGGGGGGGGCATCCCGCTTCGTCTGCCATCCGTTCCGGGCTCGTCCCGGGGAGTCCCGCCAGAACTGCCCGACGGCGTCCAGTCGTCGACGCAGGAAGCTCGATCCTCGGTTCTCGCTCCTCGATCGTCGACCCCTGAGGCCAGCCCGCGGCCTCAGCGATCCTCCAGCGCCACACCCAGGCCCCCCCCCCGTCACGCCCCCGCCCCATCATCCCCCCCTCCTGCTCCCCCCTGCCAGCCCCCCCAGCCCCTCTGGAGCCGCCCCGGGTGGCTCGGAGGTGCCTTCGACCCGACGACGACGACGACGACGACGACGACGACGACGACGACGACGACGACGACGACGAGCGACGAGCGACGAGCGACGGGCGACGGGCGACGAGCGACGAGCGATGTGCGATGAGCGACGGCGGCGGCGAGCGACGACGAGCGAAGAGCGATGAGCGACGACGAGCCATGAAAGACGACGAGCGACGACGAGCCACGAGCGATGAGCGACGGCGGCGGCGGCGAGCGGCGAGCGGCGAGCGGCGAGCGGCAAGCGACCCCGGGCGGCCTGTCTCCGACTCGCTGTCGTCCGAGTCGGTGTCGGCGGGCGGCATGGCGCGGCCCGTGCCGCGGCGGCCACGCCGCGGCCTCGCGCCCCCCGCCCACCCCGGCCGGGGCAGAGAGCGGGCTCGAGCGGAGGACGGCCTTTGCGGCGGCGAAGCTACGGCGGGCTCGCGGCGAGATGCCCGCACGCGGGCAAGGTCTGTGTCTATATCCACTGCGCCTCGGGCTTTCTGTTGGCATCCCTCCCCAGCAGAAGTCCAAGGCGCCGTGTGCACGGGTGCAAAGCCTGCCGGCGCCGCAGAAGAGCGCTGGTCTCGAGGGAGAGGGACGGTTCGGGGGGGCTCTGGCCCTTACTCGGCACCTGGAAGCCTCCGACGCCCTTTTGGGGACCTCCGCGAAGGCCTCCAGAGACATCTGGGGACCTGGAGGAGGAGGAGGAGGAGGAGGAGGAGGAGGAGGAGGAGGAGGATGGAGAAGGAGTTGGAGGAGGCGGACGAGGAGGGGAGGGGGAGCATGACCAGGTGGCGGCGGAGGAGGGAGAGGGGGCGGAGGAGGAGGAGGAGGAGGAGGAGAAGGAGGACGAGGAGGAGCAGGATGAGGACGAGGAGGAGGAGGAGGAGGAGGAGGAGGAGGAGGAGGAGGAGGAGGAGAGATGGGCCCCACGGCCGTGCTCCTCCAAGGTCAGCCGGGTGGGGCTGGTGGAGCGGCAAGGGCGGGATGCCCAGGAAGTCACAGGAGAAGTGCGCGGGTGCCTGGCGCAGTCTGGCGCGGCCCCCCCCCCCCCAGGAGAGGCAGGCCAACGGGGCCGGGTGGGCCAGGAAGGGCGCGAGGCTCCTGGGAGCCCCTTCGACGCGGAGGTCCTCGTGTCCTGTCACGCGCTTTCCTGAGCGTCTGGGCGATGCGCGAACATTCTGCGCCTGCCGCGTACACCGTGGTGGCTGCAGTCTGAGTGGGCCGGCCGGCCTGCGCCTGTCTTGGCCAATTCGCCCAGTTCGCGTCCCGGACTTTGCTCTCGCCGCCCGACCGTCGTCTCGCGGCCGCGACCGAAACAGTACACCGTGGTGGGAATGGGGGTCTGACAAGCGAGGCGCCCGAGACCACAGGTCGCCATTTCCGTGCCGTGCCTCCCGGCGGCTTCCCCTTGGGTGGTGGTCCAAGCACCACGCCTCCGGCTTTTCTGAGTGTCTGGGCGATGCGCGAACATTCTGCGCCTGCCGCGTACACCGTGGTGGGGATGGGGGTCTGACAAGAGTTGGGCGCCCGAATTATCCGGGGTAACTCGGGCCCGGGGTAACTCGGGTTCGGATTCCCGAAAATCGAACCCGAGTTAGCCCTGACCCGAATTACCCCTGATGATTTGGGGCTCTGGACGCCCGAGTTATCCGGGGTAACTCGGGCCCGGGGTAATTCGGGTTCGGATTCCCGAAACACGAACCCGAGTTAGCCCTGACCAAGTTACCCCTGATGATTCGGGGCTCTGAAAGAGAGGCGCCCGAGACCACGGGTCGCCATTTCCGTGCCGTGCCTCCCGGCGGCTTCCCCCTGGGGTGGTGGTCCGAGCACCGTGCCTCCGGCAAATCGCAGTGGTCGCAGGGCTCTGGCAGGGGAGACCCCCCCTAACAAAGGAAAAAAACAAACCGAGAAAAAACAAATCCCAGTGCGACCCTACCTAGGAGTTGGAAACCCTAGGAAAGCAGCATTAAAAGTAACAATAACGCTAAGCTAAAGCTAAGCTAAAGCTAAGCTAAAGCTTATCCACAGCTAAGCTAAAGTTAAGCTAAAGCTAAGCTAAAGCTAAGCTCAAGCTAAGCTCAAGCTAAGGTAAAGCTAAAGATAAGCTAAAGCTAAGCTAAAGCTGAGCAACTGTTAAGCTACATCTAAGCTACAGCTAAGCTAAAGCTAAAGCTAAAGCTAAGCTAAAGCTAAGCTAAAGCTGAGCAACTGTTGAGCTACATCTAAGCTACAGCTAAGCTAAAGCTAAGCTAAAGCTAAGCTAAAGCTAAGCTAAAGCTAAGCTAAACGCTAAGCGAAAAGCTAAGCGAAAAGCTAAGTTCAAGCTAGGCTAAAGCTAAGCTACAGCTAAGATAAAGCTAAGCTAAAGCTAAGCTAAAGCTAAAGCTAAAGCTAAAGCTAAAGCTCCCAGGGGACTGGGGGAAACCGCGGGGCGGGGACTGGGGGAACCGCCCGGGGCGCTTTCCACTGCCCGGCCCCTTTAAGCTAAGAGAGTAAGAACCTTTCTAGGCAGAGCCTAGGTAGGGAAAAACGTGTAAAAAAAACGAGGAAAAACACAAACCGAGGAAAGCCGCGAGATCTTCTCCGAGGAAGGCCTCTCGCTCGAGGGAAAAACGATACAAGACGATGATAGGGCTCCCTCCCGAGCGAAGCGGGGGCGCGTCGCGGCGTATCTGCAGCCGCGAGCGGGCGTTGCGCTCAACCACGGTCTGGACACGAGCTGGCACGGGTCCTCACACCCGTGGGTGTCGCGGTGGTCCTCTGGCTCTGACGAAGAGACGCGTCCACGGCCGCCAACGAACCTTTCGCTCGACCCCTCCCTGGGTCAGGCGGGGGGGGTCGGACACGCGTTGGAGCTTCAGAGGTCCCAAGATGGCTCCAAAAGATAACCTACGATGGCCTCCACGATCGCACAAGATAGCCCAAGATGGCTCAAGATAGCTTCTATCATGCCTCCAAGAGGCTCCAAGAACGCCCAAGCGGCCATGGAGCCTCCCAAGGACGCTCCCAATACGCCAACATCATTCAAAGCCCTGGGGAAAGTCAATGTTGCGTGCCTTCTCGCCTTTTCGCTGTCGATTGACTTCTGACGCCTCAAAATGGTTATAGGATAGCCCACGAGAACCCCAAGAGGGGACCAAAAGGGTTTCAAGGCGGCCCCAAGAGCGCCCAAGAAAGCCAAGAGCGCTCCACTATGCGATTTGTCGGCATCCGACGAGGGGACGCTAATTAAGGACACCCCTTTTTGATCGATGGTCTCCAAGATGGACCCACGAAGGCACCAAGAGAGCCCCAAGAGAGCCAAAAAAGCCGCAGAAGAGCAGCAAAGGCCTCCGATAGTGCCCCCAAGAGGGCCCGAAGATGGCCCAAGTGAGATGCCAAGAGTCTACCATAACGAAAGATCCGCGAAGGTATAATCTATATTGTTGAATCCTGGGCCAGCTCAGGCTGATCCTGATCTTCGTTTTGACGGCTGCCCCCACTCTTTGCTCCACTGAGTGCTCCCATACTTCCCTGATCAATACAGCTCGTCTGGGCATCGTTGCTGGATGCGCTGGTGGAGATGCGCGAAGAGTCAAACATTCGGCTGAGGAGAAGTCGGGAATCCCTGGGACTGGCGGGTCTTGAGAATGCCTCGGGCGCCGCGGCCAGGTCCAGAGCGCCCCGAAACGCTCTGAGCGACTGGACACGCCCTGGAACAGTGCATTGGGAGTCCCG